TTGTATCAATCACTCTAGGAGCCCACCCCCCCATGACTGTTTTAGGCTTTGGGGGGACATGTAGACACAAACCATAACATCAGCTTAGACAGGAAATCCTCCTGTTTCTCATACATAATCTTGTTTACCTGCATATTACATGAGTGAACTCCTGTCTTGTGTTGAGTCATAGAAAGAGGCCTTGCCTTAGGAGAATTTGGCTTTCTAAGCTTTCAGGGGTCCCCTTTCCTTTGTCCTCTTTTTGTTGTACTCTCTATAGTAACTGGCTCAAAACCCCTGAGTTAAGAGGTGTGTTGTGCCACCCTATCATACCTTCAGGAATTTTTGCCTTTTATTTTTATTTTTTGTCTTTTTGTTTTTCTGAGACAGGGTCTTGCTGTACAGTTCAGGCTGGCCTTGAGTTCACTTTGCAGCCCAAGCTGACCTCAAATATAGCTATCCTCCTGCCTCAGCCTCCCAAGTGCTGGGATTGCTGGCATGCATCACCGTGTCTGGTGGTTTTACTTTTTTTCTTAACTGCTAAAAACCCTTAAGCATTTGTCATGACAAATGACATACAGTCTCTTTTTTAGGAGATTCTAATTTGTAAATTACCAACAATCTCCTTTCCTTTAAATGGATGTATAAACTTCTAAATAGCTTTTCTAAAGTATGAGGGATTAATACTTCATTTTTCTTTTTAGATAGGCTCTCATTACATAGTTAGTGCAGGCTGACCTTTAACTTGCTTATGTAGCCCACACTGGCCTTAAACTCACAATGGGCCTCCAGCCTCAGCCTCCTGTGTGCCACCACGCCGGCAGTATTTCATGATTTAACAGGTTTTTTTTTTTTTAATTTTTTTTTAACAGGTATTTGAGCCACTGCTTTTTGTAAGGCAGTGAGTTGAATGCTGGGATAAGTCAGTTTCTCCTCTTGAGCTGGGAGAAGATGGAGACAAATAAGTACTTACTCAGATAGAGTCAGATTCAAATCACTGTTTAAATTTCTGTTATGGTCCAGGCAAGAAAAGATTAAGCAGTTGCATAATATGCAGCGAAAGGTAACGTTTTTTCAGGCTGGCCTTGAGTTAAAAAAAAAAAAAAAACTTTAAAAAAAGATAACAAATTAACAGGAGATATAGAAGAAAGATCTGTGGGAGTCATTATGGCCAGAATGGAAGGTAGATAGGGACGGAGGGCGTGTGTGTGTGTGTGTGTGTGTGTGTGTGTGTTTGTGTGTGAAGTGATCTCGACCTCCATCCAGTGGGATGGCTTTGGATTTGTGGAGATGGAGGGGCAGTTTGGAGCACATGAGAGTGTATTCCTTGTTGAGTGGTTAACTTGGTTGCAAGAATTGGGTTGGGAGAATTTATAGTATACTTAAACTGCTGGGATTTGGATTGCTTTTGGGGAATGATAGAATACATAGCTGAGAGGGTTTCTTGGAGCTAGATTGACCTACTCCTAGGAAATACTCCCTTTCTGATGTGATATTTACCACAGGCATGTAAGACCTGCTTTATTAAAAAATTAGGAAAGTGTATCGTTTTGTTGTTAAGTATAGTACCTTTTATTTATATTTGGATCTAGTCGTAAGCTAGCATAAGCAAAAATGGGTGCTTGTAACAAATCAGAAATCTTGTTTAACTGAGGATAGCCTTCAAGAGGGGTTTGGAACTAGAGGCTAAATATTATTCAGATTTTCTTCTGGTTTCTCTTTCTTGTGCTTCCATGCCATTCTTTCTTCATACCGACTTTCTCCAATTTTGTGCTTTATGAAGTAGGCTGAAGATGCCCATGTCCTATCTTCTGGTTTACTTGTACAAGTCCAGTTAATCAGAGGAGGTTTGATGCTTTGGTTCCAGTTCCAGATGCCTGAAGAAAGAGTTAATTGTGCCAGGGACCCAACATGCTACATTGGCTATGGTCATTGTACAGAGTCAGGTTGTACATAATTGTCTAGTAAGATTTAGGGTCTTTTCCACCTACTCTTTTTTTTTTTTTTTTTTGCTTAAACCATGCTATAGTTTATTTATTTATTTTTTTGAATTTTTTAGGGAAGGGTCTACAGGGTGTTCAGGGTCTCACTACTAGATAGGATTTGTAGTGCTCTGCCTATTTTCAGCCTCCCAAGAGCTGGGATTACAGGTGATTGCCACCACGTCCAGTCTCAATTGCCATTTTAGCCCCTGCACCTGCTTTCAGGTGCTTTAATCCACTGAGCTATTTGGCTGGCCCCTATGCTATAGGTTAGCATACTAAATGGAACATTATGTTTGCAGATGAACTATCACTTGCTTTGTAATTTTATGTTTTTTTAAATTTCAATTTTTTTTTTTTTTTTTGTATTTTTAGTAAGGGTCTACAGGGTCTATAGGGTCTTATAACGTAGATTGGACTCGTAGTGATCCCCCTGTGTTCAGCCTCCCAAAGAACTGGGATTACAGGGATGTGCTACCACACCCAGTGTCTTGCTTTGTAATTTTAATCAATATAATTATTTCTGGATTCTACCTACTTCAACAGGTAGTACCAGAGAGGATATTCTGATTTGTACTGGAGGGTAAAAATCTCTTTGGGTTCAGCTTGTCTCATTAGTTTGGTGGCTTTGATAGGTTAGTCAGATTATGATTCCCAGTTTTTCATCTATAAATTTGGATGATAACTGCACTGTACTAGGTTTTTCTGACACTCAAAATGCCATGTGATTAGATTGTGTTTATCTATAATCCACTACCTGATTTAACCTTTTTGGTTGCACGTGCTAGACAGGAGTTCTGCCACTAAGCTACACCCTCAACCACACATTTATATTTTAAAATTTATTTTTATATTCAGAAAAAATAATATTCTTTGTATGAAACTTAAGTGAACAAAATATGAAATGTCACCTGGAAATAACCATGTGTTCTTTCTAGATCACACTAAGAAATTCGTGCTTATAAGTTACAATGACCCATAATTAAACAAAAAACAGAAAAGAATCATCTGAAATTTTGCCATTACCTTAAAGATTATCTTTTCTTTGTGCCTTTTGATCATTATTTACTTTTTGTTTTTCATTATTTACTTTTTATTTTAGAAATTTGTTTTGTTTAGAAGTTTGCTGAGCTCTGTTATTTGGTTTTTAGATGTTTTCCCCAATCACTGGTGAGTGAAAAACCAGTGATTGTAGGGAGATTGCATTTTTTACCTCTTTTGGAAAATAGGTTTTGCTCCTTATGAAGTGAAAGTTCAATTTCTGAAGAATGAATTATTTGTGTAGACAATTTTATTTTTCATGAATAATTTAACATTTTCAGAAATATCAATGACTAGAGGTGGTAGCAATAAAGTCTTTAAACCTGTATTTTCTTTTTTCTGTTTTTTAAAATTAATTTTAATGAGAAAGAAATGGCAATGAGACAGTTTCAAAGCAGGTTAGAAGGACAGTGCATATTGTTGTCGTCACAGTAGTTATTCAGAGTACAAGATGCAGACATGATAATATCTTGTCTGAACGCTATTAGTAGGAATCTTTCT